GTCGGGATGTTCTGAGGAACACTTCACTACCCAAACAATGAGTCTTTAATGAGCGGTTCAGTTCACCCCAGTTCAGGTGAAGCAGGGAAACAGGGATGCAATATGATACCTATGACAGTTCATTTACTGCCCCATCAATATTGCAGCTTGTTGCTGCTTTAGCTGTAGATGAGCTTATTTTTGTCTCTATTAGGCAGCTGATATGCAACAAATTTCACAGAAAACCTCCAAATGCAATCTTCAGTTGGAATCGTGGCACGGACACTCAGCAGGGTTTCTTTATAACTGTTAAACAAATGAATGTGGCACAGATGTCACCAGAAGCTCCTCATCTCGATTTGAAATAGCATCCTGTGACGATGTTACGGATGAATGAGTGTAAAATGAATGAATCTAAAAGTGTCATTTAACGCTGGAGCTGGCTTTCTGCTTTTCTTGTTTTTTGCCTGGAAGGATACTGCTGATTCACTCTGGAGTGTTAAATAATGTTGCAGTGTCATTTAACGGCCACAAGAGAGAGCTCGGTGCTCTCTGCTTGCTGCAGATCCAGCAGCTTTGTGAGGGGATGTCTCTTTCAGGAAAAAATTGAATGGAGCATGCACAACAGTGTTTAATATGTAATGGACATTGCCGATGGATACATGTTGTTGTCTTTACTTGTTGGCCTTATTCACAGCAAAAAAAAAAAAAAGTGGGGGGGGGTGTCAAAGATAACCTCTCCTTCAAAGACATATGTGAATGTGCACTGCCAATTCCCCAAGAACACACCCACTTTTTTTGGAAGATGATATTTGCTGCTACCCTAAAAAACAAACCTTTGGTCTGATGAGAAAGTATTGGAAAGGAAATTATTTATTGATCCTGTGGCATGTGGTGTGTATTTCCCTTAATTCACTGCCTCAGTAAGCAGCCTATAGCAGGTTGAATAGAGTATCTATCTTCCAGGTGTTTTGGACAGGGTAGTAGCGCTTTATTTTTTTTATTTTTTTTTATTTTTCTATTTTTAACTGCAGGTTCAATGACTATGAAATGTGCAAACACAGAGAGAAATGGTCCTGCCCGAGGGCCACAGCCCCCAAACCCGCTGCCTGCGCTCAGCCGTGAAGAGTTGAGCCAAAGGGAAGCGCGTGTGTTTGAGAGTCTGGAGCAGAATGGCTGCAGTGATAGTGAAAATACCTGGGGCTGTTACAGCTGCTTGACCAGTGTGTGTGTGTGTGTGTCATTGTGAATGCATTCATCTACTGTGGAGTCTTTTTGTCAATGTGCTCTGCAAATGAATGGAGGTTATAATAGTTTCCTGTCAGTGTGGGTTGAGCTCAATCTGTCTTTGGATTGCATCCCTGGATGGACTGTTAGCAGCCTTATGCTGTGTGGTGTCTGCCAGTGTGACTAAAGACAAACCAACGTGCTTCCGTTACTGTCACACATCTAGTACTGTGCTACAGCATGAGATCTTATCTCTACCGTCAAAGTTTCAGAAGATTTCTTATTTTTGGGTTGAATTTGAGAAATTTTGTAGCTCAGAAGTCTTTGAACTGCTAAACCAGATAGCACTCGCTAGCCTCTCAAGCCCCTCTATAACCTCTGTAAAACATTTAGGCAACCACAGAAAATGCCCTGTCATCAGTGTCACTACATAATTTCATTTAATTTCATTCAGTGTTTTTTAGATATTGTAGATTCAGCCTGTGGAGGTTTTTCCCCTCCTCCTGTCTAATAGACTTTATAACCCTCAATTTTTATTCTGACTCAGATCCAAAGTGCAAAGTGTATTGATGTCTGAAGCTCAGTGTGTGCAACATTTTCTGGACCCATGCAGTTTTGGTTTTTTTTGGTCTGTGTTTTTGGAATACTAATAGGCTATCAGGTATTTCGCTGATGAGATAAAAGAGCTTGACATGTGCAGTCCAAGGGCTGAGAATATGGTTAATTATTATTGGCAGACTGAGGAGGTGCACAGTAACTGACTCCCTGTTAATTGCAGTTTGGAGGAGTAAATATGTAGGTCATTGGCCACAGCAGTGGAAAGGGCAGATTTCAGGTAATTAACCAGGTAAAACATTTTTTCCCATGATCCTACATGCTCTAATGTAGGTAGTTACTTTATTAGTGTAGATACCCACACATTTCTCCATGAGTAAGCTTAATCCACTCGTCCACACACAAAAAAATTGTTTGGCTGAGAAAAACAAAACTCTGAAAGAATCATATAAATTATACCTAGATTATCATTAATAGCCTTTTTGTATTTGTCTTTGTCGGTGATGATTGATATGTGGGATTTAACTAGTCTTTGGTGGAATAGCTGCAGCCTTTGGGGTCTCCTGGTGTTTAGTAATGTGTGCGCACATGTGTTTTGTCAGCAGACATACTGAAGGTGCTGACATACGCTGCTCTGCCTTGATTACTGCAGAGCACTGTTACCTGAAGCAAAAAAAACAAAAAAAAACCAGACTCCTTTGTGTGATTGGAGACTTCCACGTTGAGATAACTTCCCATGATTTAGTTACAATTCACAATGTTAGTTAAATCAAATACAGGAGGTAATGTGGCGTTGATTAGGAGTAAGGTGACAGCTGGTTCTTCTACAGTGACCCCTGGTTTGCTGCAGAGCTCTCACAGTGGCACTGGATAAATAAAGGAAGTTGTGGTCTGATTGGCTCCTGTCCTCTGGGACACATAAAGCACAGTGTGTAGCCTCGCTGCTTCCATTGTGTGTGACCAGAGTTTTAAGTCATCTGTAACACTGATAGGAGGTCATAAATACCTCGTGTGTCACTAGAACATAGACCAGTACATACTGTGTAGATGTGTAGATGCTGAGCTTCCTTTGACCTATGAAATATAATGCAGATCCTTCATTATTGTGACATTAACCTGTGTTTAAAAAAAAGTATTATGTTCTCTTTTTTTGTGAGGTGTTTCTTGTGTGTTTCAGTCGTGTAGCATCTCTCTCTCTCTCTCTCTCTCTATACATATATATGCAATGGAAGAAGGAACTGACCTTGAAACATAATCCCTCCATAGCCGGTTATCAAGATTACGTGAAGTATCCTCTGAAGGTCTACTAGATGATGTGAATGCATTACTATGGACATAATCATGGCAGCACAGGAACAAGCTCTAAGCACAAGATCAATAGTTCTGGGGTCTATCACACCAGGCAAGACCTCAGGTGCAGGCTGTGTAAAGATGCCCCTGAGACAATCCTGCACATAACAGCAGGGTGCAAGATGCTAGCAGGCAGGGCATACATGGAACGGCATAACCAAGTGGTTGGCAGAGTATACAGAAACATCTGTGCCGACAAGGCCTGGAAGTCCCGAAGTCAAAATGGGAGATGCCCCCTAGGGTGGTGGAGAATGACTGAGCTAAGATCCTGTCGGACTTCCAGATACAGACGGACAAAATGGTGATGGCTAACCAACCGGACATAGTAGTGGTAGACAGGCAGAGGAAGACAGCCGTAGTGATAGATGTAGTGATACCAAATGACAGCAACATCTGGAAGAAGGAACACGAGAAGCTGGAGAAATACCAAGGGCTCAGAGAAGAACTCGAGAAGATGTGGAGCGTGAAGGTAACAATGGTCCCAGTGGTAATCAGAGCGCACGGTGCAGTGACCCCCAAGCTAGGCGAGTGGCTCCAGCAGATCCCAGGAACAACATCGGAGATCTCTGTCCAGAAGAGCGCAGTCCTAGGGCCCTCAAGCTCCCAGGCCTCTGGTAGAGGACCCGAGCTCGAAGGATAAAGACCGCCCGGATGGGCGAGAGGGGAATTTCATATATTGCTTAGGAAAAGACACAGGAGGTCTTATAGGAGGCTTTTTCCTTACTGCACCCAGGGTGTTGTGATATAACAGTGTGACAATTTATAAAACTGAATGATTGACTGTGTAACTTGATGACAGCTTTTGTTTTCTCTCTGTCCCACCCAGAAAAAATTTCTTGGTCTGTGTGTTAGTGCAAAGGTTGCATAGGATGTTTTGGGTTGTTACCAACTATAATAATTTGTTAGGTCTCTGCCACGGAGGTGGAGAGACCCAACTCTGCGTCTCTCTGTATTTCGTTTCGAACCAGCAGCTGAGATAAGCAGTTTGGAGCTGTGGTACAGATCGAGCCTTTGAACCTGTTCTGACAGTTGCCGTACAGGCGGGCGCAGTCTAAACAAGTTCAGTTAATGTAGACATAACATTTCGGTCAATTCAGCACCCGCTTATACTAATAACGGTAATGCACTGACTCAGCACTGGGACTGTAAAAGCACGACGTGTGGTGTGGGTCGGGGGTGGGGTGCTGCAGTGGCTCTTTGCCACCCCCAACTGGCTGTCTGGCCTGCCAGTCATTTAGTAAGGTCTTACTCTTCTCAAATTTTACTCAATGAGAGAGGTGTGGTCACCCGAGTGATATTACTGTCCACTGACAATCCAGCTATACCAATAAATAAACATTATTTTATTTACCCAGGATGACACAACACAGAAAAAAATTATTGCCATTCCCTTTAAAATATATTAGCAAAATATGCGTAACATTCACTATGATGTAGCCTCTGCTGTTAGTCGGCTGTATTTGCACTAAAACTACTGTAGAGGATGGACGCACAGGCTCAAAATGTAGAGCAGCAATAAAAAAAAAAAACTGCACTCATGTCACTTTACCTTTCACTGATTGAAAAGGCTGCTGCATGTGTCTAATATTTCATCATTCACCTCATCACCATGAATTGTGAGTAGTGTTTATGAATATTGTCGCTGCAGGGGTGAAAACACTCATTTTACTCACTTTCATAAAAGTTCTCTTCCTGATTCCTGATTGTCAAACACCTTGAGAGATCTTTTTGGTTTTTTTGTTCACCCAGCAACAACAATATGCCTCATAGTCATGTTACAGCTTTAGATAACAAATACACAAATTACTCCATTGCAGCTCATCTTAGGTTTTATAAGGCTGCCACCGCCTCTTCAGTTGAACTAACTGTTCCCCTTCTCTTGCCTGCAGGTTATGTGGGTATGCAACTTGTGCCGAAAACAACAAGAAATCCTCACCAAATCGGGGGCATGGTTCTACGGCTCGGGGCCTGATCAAGCGCGGGGTGTGTTTGAGGGTGGGCCACAGGGGAAGAAGGCCAAACTGCAGGACCCGTCCCTATACCCCTACCAGGGAGCCTCAGGAGACTTGACACCAGCGTCAGACAGAAACAGACCTCACGGCGGGCTCCTGCCCAGACAGGCGTCCCTTGACAACGGTTCAGGGCTAAGGTACACGAGCCCCACACATGCACACCTCACTTCTGTTTGTGAAAAACAACAACAAACAAGCAAGCATGCGCTGCATGCACGGTGTAAGTTACAGACAAGAGCTTCATAAAGGTGGTTCATCTAACAGCAGAAAGCCTTTTAATATTACCGCTGCTCTGTGTTGCTGTAGAAGGAACAGACATGCAAGCCTGCCATAAGAATCCATATAAGCTTCTTCTACATGGAGCCCATGAGACCTATAAACGACACAGGGAGACATATACTGTATCTAACTGGCACTAACTCAGCTATTCTACTACAGTCATCCACCCACTCATTCTTTCTTCATTACACTCACATGCATGCATGCACACACATACACCACAGTGGCACACATGATCACAGATGGTTGAAACTCTGATTCAGCTGCAATGGGAAACAGGCAGGTGAGGTGTGTGTGAAGTGATTAGTACTATCTCTGTTTTTGAGACAAAGGCGCACTTTTTCACTGCAGCGGTCCTATTTAGTAATTAGTCCTGTTTGTAGGCCAGCTCGGCCACTGCAGTAAATAAAGTATTAATAGGATGGGGTTTTTTTGTTTGTTTGTTTTTATTCGAAAAGCAAGAGTGGGCTAATTACAATGCAGAACACTGTGTTTCTTTTGTCATATGCACTAAGCGCTCCCTCTGAGTGCAACACTCTCACATGCTGACAACACGGACACGCTGTGTTTGTGAATCCCATATCCGGTTGCCTTTTTCTTGATGCTGGTGTCAAGTAAAGTAGTTACTTTGATGTCCACATGGGGGCTCCTTGCTCTTTATTCTTCTAAAGGTTGGATGGACGCTTATAGTCAGGATCTGTACACTCTCTGGAATTTCTCAGCAGAGCCCTTGAAATAAAACAACAACAAAAAAACCCTCTCGTGTCCGTCTTTGCTCCTTCTCAGATGTAAGGTAACTCAGCATTTGTTCAGCGTAAGGCTTTGTTTTCCACAACCCTTGGTGTGCCACAGCAACCTTATAGCTCACAGACTAACAGTTGCCCCCTTGTCTCTCTCTGTCTGTTCTTCCTCTCCATGCTTCTTTATAGGAAAGATGGGAAATGCAGGCTGTATACTTAGCCATGTTGTGGAGAGCACACTCAGTGGATAGCCTGGATCTAATTGGAGAGCTGTACAGAGTTAGCCCAGAGTAATTTATGTGCATCTGTGTTACATGCCAGCAAAGTACAGTTACGCTGGCCTGTGTAGCACAGGGACAAAACAACCTGCACAACTCTGGTTACAACATGTCTCTAAACACAGTCCTCAGAATCCACTAAAAATTTCGTACGTGAAGTCCATTTAACACATCTGCCCTGCAAGTCAGTTGGAAATACACGAGTGTCCTGTTAGAGCTTTCACTGTGTAATGAGGCCACTGTGCTATGGTTTAATTTGAATCGGTTCAGTTTACATATTTATATACAGGACCGATTCATAGCCGTGTGCATCTCAGGGAACTTTATACTGTAAAGTACAAACCCTACAGAAATATAGACAAGAACACAATGAGCAAGCAGAGTGACACATGAAGCCTTTTCAGACATGGGATACGTAACACTGCCACTTCATCAGTCTGTTACAGTGATGGCATGATGTTATTCTCCCATCTTCCATCAGATATACCCATTGTTACACATTCAGTGATGTATAACACACAAGGTTACAGTTTTATACAGCAGGTCAGCTGTATTTTGGTAGTTATATAGAGGATATGTCCTTCTTGTAGTTGTGGAAACACATGCAAACATAATGTAGCAGACTTTAGTCAGGGGATCAGACTTTTTCCTACAGTCCTGATGGCTTGGATGCAGTTGGAAGATAAGGATGGCCACAGTGTTCTTGTTGAATCTCCCTTAGACTGTCCAATGATTTAAAAAGAAAAAGAGCAGAGAATCAACTGCAAATTGTAATTAAAGCTGCAGTGCTTTACAGTGCAAAGTAATGCAGGAGTTGCTCAGACTGCTCCAAACAGTCAGTCACTCAATCACTTTTTGTTTCCGGCCGAGGATTTTGCCATTATATCGTGAATGATTGCATAGCTTTGAGAGGTGGAGATGGTACCAGGGAGTAATTCTCGCATTGACATTGCCTACATTTGCAGTGACAAAACAGGAAACTGGCTGTCTGAAAATTCATGGGATAATGCTGATGATGGATAGCACAGAGTGTATAAATAGAACTCCCTCCGCATAAGCACCGAAACCCACTTTCATTAATCTTAAAGAATGTTTAAATTAACTCCTGGATCTGTTGTGCTAAAAAAGGAGGGGGAAAAGCTGGAGGTCTATTTATAAGGAGAAATAACTTGGGAGGGCTTCCAATTTGTCTTGGTCTCGAAGGTGTCATTTGAATGAACGCACAAATATGCCAGGACAGCTGCAGTGTTGGGTGATGCTGATGAAACCGCCATACCTAAACAGGGACTGGAATGTACTCCCTGGGAGAATTTCTTCAGATTCTGCATTTTCAACACATTTAACCCAGCAGCGGGCACATTCACCCTGCCAAAAAAATGTGAGAAGAGGAAGGAGCACAATAAACCTAGCTCGAGCATCCTGTAACAACCAGCAAAACCCAGTGTGTTACATAGTAAGCTTGGGACAATTGTTTAGTCAAACCTAGTCTGTCCCAGTTTAAAGTTGTGTACCGGTACTAGTCCTATTTTATGCACGTGCCGCATTGGCCTCGATCAGCTCTGCAGTGAAATGATAATATGGTAGAACAGCTGACACAGATAGTTCAGGGTTAATAGTTTTTGTTGTTTTAGTCATCAGTTTCATTTGAACATATAATGTTTTCTTTTAGATTTGTATTAAGTAGGAGAGGGTTTGTTTTGAGCCCAGCAGTTCATTTCAGTTCAATTTTATTTATATAATCGAATGAGGCTTTGGGTTTAGGTAAACCTAAAGAGGACTGAGTGTTTTTGATGCTGACTCACCTGGTCCCTTGCATGGATCAGTGGAATAATACAAACATTTGCAATCCCTCTAAGCTTAATATTTTCATAGTCTAGTATTTATAGTACTTCATATATGTTTGAGTTTAGATAGATGTGGGTAACTATAGCATCTGCATGTTTGTTTTATTCCGGACTTTATTATCCTAACATGATCACAGTGCCAACACCATTCTACATAAATACATTTACTGCCTCATGCTTAAACAAGGGCCACTTTATTGTGTTGATTAACAGCTGAAGCGCTGCTTTAAATATAGCAGATCTATATTTTATCTCTCAGTAAGGTTATAATAGTTTACTAAAACTAAACTAACAACCACAAGTAGATGTAAAAAAAAAACAAACAAAAACGGTTTATTAACCTAAAATAAAAATTAAAAAGTAGACATGTGAAAAAACAATTAAGCCAACTGAAACGACTTAGTGAACTTGGAATATTACGAACATTAAAACCAAATAATAATAACGATAATGGTTATTATTATTACTATTATTATTATTAATAATAATAACTACGACTGAAACTAACTTAAATTAAACTTCTTCCAACTCTGGAAAGTAAACTGAATTAAAAAAAAATACAACAAAAAAAACCCGTACAAACAAACAGATTTCTGAAAAACACGAAGATATGTATGTAACCACATTAAATGCATCAACTTTAAAGAAGGGCCTGGAATTAACTGGGTTCTTTTTGGCTAATTTCAAGTGTTTACAGTTGGCTGTCTGGACGAAATGAAACGCATTAAATAAATAAATAAACAAGCAGGCTCTCGGGAAAGCCCTCATTAGTTGCGTGCTTTGTCCTCACAGTAACTTTATTGCTGATTGATGTAGCGCTGATATTAAAAAAGCCGGATGTGGAATGTCGGAAAGACAAAAAGCCGTGACGCTAGCACGCCCCCTTCCACCCCCCTCGTGCGTGATTCTGACGGTTATCTGCCGCTGTGCGCGTCCCGAAGAGTGCGCGAGACAGAATGGAGAGATATGGCGAAAGAGTTCGCGCGACTGTATCGGTAGCGCGTGCGTACGTGTCTGTGCGCGTGTCAGGGCAAGTGTGTACTCTTCATGGGCAACGGGAAATATGAGTTGAATGTGAGGCAGCAGCTGATGCGCCGGTACGGGGATGCTACCGCCGCCGCCAGGTGCAGTGTAGGATGGTTCTTCGCTTTTTCTTTCCTCCGGACGCTCCTTCACCTCTCCCCGCACACGGAGAAGAGATTTTTGCCGCTGCCGCGAGAAGAAGAAAAGGCTTGTTACCGGCACCGGCACTGCCTCCCTTTTCTCGCTGCAAGTCCGAAGCATTATGACCGAAGGAGCCCACCCGGTATGCGTCTCGTTTAAGGACACTTTTTTACCAGCAGCGCAAGGAGGAATATGGAACTTGATCGGCGTCTTATTTGCGTTTAATGCGCCCCCGGGAGATAACATCAATACTACCACTACTACTAATAATAATAAGGAAAAAAACTGACAAGGTGTATGTTTAGAAGGGGGGCGTCCGGAGAGAGCGCAGGCTTTGGGATGTAATGGTGGGAAAAGGGAAAAGGCTGAGCACTTACTGAGGATAAAAAGAAAACCGAGGTGGGGGGAAAATGCAGTTTGAGACATTGCGTCAGTTCTGTAGCTCGGTTTTATCACATTTCAACGGGGCTTTCACGGCACCTCAGAACATCTTGCAGACGGAGCTGTTCGAGCAGGCGCTGAGCAACATCGGGTGAGTGATTCCTTTGTAAAAGAAATGCCCAGATTTATGAGGGAGGGCTTCCCCGTTGGTATGTCAGGCGAGTTTTTTTTTTTTTTTTTT